TCCAAGGCTATAGAACCCGGTCTGTCCTGCTATTGATCCATATCTGGGGGTGGGGGAGAAGAAGAGTATTTATACCTTTCCCAAGGTTACTAACATCTAAGTAAATGTGATAGATAGATATATAGATAGATATCAGCAGACTGAGATAGATAAATAGATGTAAACAGACTGAGATAGAGGGATCAGTTATGTGCCATGCATTATATACACGTAGGCAATCATGTATCTTTCAACACATGACTGACAAGGCAGATTTTGTCCCACAGTAGGTTTGCCATTTCTTTCTGCAGTAGACCAGCTGCCATCCAAGGCTATAGAACTCGGTCTGTCCTGCTATTTACCCATAGCTGGGGGTAGGGAGAAGAAAAGTATTCATACCATTCCCAAGGGTATTAACATCTAACTAAATGTAATGGATTTGACTGGAACTCAAACTCAGCTCTCCAATTCCTCAATCTGAGCCGCTATTCATTACTCCACCATGCTGCGTTTAAATTCATAAAGTCAAGGTACCATAGCAGAAAGGTCATCAGAACAATGAGGATGAAAGTATTTATAGAAAAGACACAGGGAAACTACATGGTGGCTGGAAAGGGAATGAAGCTGAGATGCCAGGTCAGTATGTATAATTTTTATATTTTATATTCTTTCCTTTCATTTTCACTATTATATGTGATGATTAATCTAGGTACCTCCAATAACTTTCTATAAAAAGAACATACCATGATGAAAAAGCCCTTAACCTTGAAAAAAAACAAAAAGAAAATGTTTTATCATTAAAATGATTATGTTATTATTAAGAGAAAAGATCAAAGTATTTTTTGAGTTTTTTTAATCCTTTCTAGCATGTTGGAAATTTTGATTAAAAATTTTGTGTCAGTAGGTGAGCCGATGATTAGTATGTGAAATTCAGTGTCTTTTTTTTTTTTGTTTTTTTTTTTTTTGTAAAAAACACATTATTTTGAAACTTCTTGCAAAATTCAAATAATTGTCAGATTGTAATCAATTTTTCAGGATTGACTCACAAATAATTGAAATTATTTTTTAAATAATTCTTTTAGAAAATCTTGATAAAAATGATTTTTTTTTTTTTTTGCATTTGTTATTCCACTTTTATAAAATTTCAGGAAATTCAAATTTGAATCTTTGTATTTAAATTGGTTGGACAACTTGGAGAATTAAAATTTTCAATTTGTTTTTGTAATACAGAAACACCATTTACCAAACATCCACTATGAATCATAAAATAAAAAATGCAATAAAACTATGATGTTACTTAGAAAAGTTTCTTAATTGCTTTTATAAATAAGATATATTAAGGACACTAAGAAAAATAATCTTTTCAATGAATAATGAATTTTTACAAGATTTGTCTTCATTCTTTTTAAATTTTAATGAGAAAAATTTCTTAAGTTTTAAATCGTTTAAATTTCTGTTTAATTTCAGCAATTTTGATGATATTATTAAGTGAAAACTATATTTACTAATCATAAATGGAAAAGCTTAATACAAAACATCAAACACTAAAAATTTTTAAAGTAATTAAAAAGTATTTTTAGTATAAATTTAATTATAAATATATAATATATATATATATATATATATATATATATATATATATATATATATATATATATATATATATATATATATATATATATATATATATATATTACACACACATGAAACATAGATATATATCTATATATCAAAATGTATTTAACATATGCTCACATATCTTACACAGCCATATGTAATGTACACAAACATATACATATATCATACATAAAACAGTTACACATATATATAAAACTATATAACATATAACATTCAGACACATATATCGCACACATACATAATATACACACAAATATGTAAAATACACGGACAAACACATATATATAATTACAAATGTATAAAACACACACACATATAAATCAAAAATGTATCATACACACATGTAACAAAAACACCTATATATAACACACACACCCACACCTGTGTGTGTATGTATATATATATATATATATATATATATATATATATATATATAGAGAGAGAGAGAGATAGATAGAGGGAGAGAGAAGTCTATATATATATATGCACACAAGACACATTTAAATATATATATATATATATATATATATATATAACACATATATGACAGACATATAACACACATACATGTGCATATATATATATATATATATATATATATATATATATATATATATATATATATATATATATATATATATCACAAGTTTCAGATCAGCCTGTGTAATATTATTTCCACTCTGTCAACTCCGTCATCTGCATGGAACTGTTGACAAAGAGAATTAGAAATCCCAGGTTAGAATTTCTTCTTTCTTCAAGGATGGGCAGGTGCTGGGAAGATAACAAAAATGCACAATGGCAGAGGTGGCCTGAACAGTTCTCTGATGGTGGTTTAGCTGAGCTGAGCGTTTCTGACATCTTTGGCATTATCTCTCTGTCAACTCTCATCCTGTCTCACCTGCCAAACCTGGTAGTCTGACATGCTTTATGTGGTAGATATATATGCCAGCTTAAAATGGTACTCAAGGATTTACCAGGAGGCATATCAGTACCTCAGCCAAATGGCAGGTCACTGAAGGTCACAGGATCGATCTTATATCCTGTAAGATTAAATCATAGCTTAGATGTTTATCTTCTTGATGCAGCTTTTCTCAATATTGTCCATTCTTCTTTTTCTTTCTTTTCGTATCTATCAATGTTGCCTGTCCAACACCTGCTAGATGTGTAGGATTTTATGTACAGTTTTAGGATACACTGGCCTTAAGAATATTTTCCTTACTTTAATGCTAATGATGAAAATAGCCATTTTCATTCAGGAAACATGTTATGTTCATTGTCTGAACAGTTAGTCTTAACCAGTGGAAATTTATAAAATCATCTTTTAAAACAAATTTTCTGGAAATTACAATCACTGTGACCATTAACTGTTATAGCTCTTTCTGATTAATATCTTCTTTATGCACCATGTCTGCTCAGGATGTAGGCAATCATGGCTCTTCACAATTCTTGTCCTTTCTTTACCCCCAGCAAAACCTCTTCTGCCATCTACTTACTCAAGCTCCTAAAGTATGCCATACACAGCCTTCTCCCATATCTCCCGCCTCCAATCTGTCCTGTGAGTATCATATTTTCCAAGCCCTTCTTTCTGGGAAAGTGTTCAAACAGAGGATGGAAATTGTGAAACTGAAATCTGAAAACACATTGGGATAGCCAAAGATGCTTTCCAAAACCTAAGCAGAGAATTAAGAGACTGAAAAACCTACGTGATATCTGTCCTCTGTGGCAGTAAATGCTGGATAATAGATGAAGAGACTTGAAGCAACAGGAATGTGATTCTACAGAAGGATGCTAAGGATATCATGGACCAAATATGAGCAACAGGGTTTTAGAGATAATGAAAAAAGGGAAACTTATATTTAACATCTGGTTCATATAGTAATCCTGTTTTCTCTCATCTTTTCAAACTAAGCAAGGCAATAATGCTACTGAGACGCAAAAAAGAAAAAAATGAGAAAAACATTAATAAAAAGTATGATAAAAGAACAGGATTCAAGCAGACATAAGATGGGGATTGATGTTTCATTTGATTTTAATGTAGATTGTAAGTAGCAAAAAAGCAGAATATAGATCCACAGGTGAGAAGTGCGAGAAAAGAAACTATTTGAATAGAAATTACAGTTAGCTATTTCAATAATAAAATGAGGAGACTTCATTGTGGTATCACCTGTTAGGGTCCCAGCTATGGGTAAATAGTTAACCCCCCAAACTGGGGTCAAAACATATAAAAATATTACCAGTTATACATCTTTTTAAATAAAAAAAAAACATTGCCAGCTATACATCTTTTGAAATAAAAAAAAAAACATTACCAGCTATACATCTTTTGAAATAAAAAAAAAAAACATTACCAGCTATACATCTTTTGAAATAAAAAAAAAAACATTACCAGCTATACATCTTTTGAAATAAAAAAAAAAAAAACATTACCAGCTATACATCTTTTGAAATAAAAAAAAAAAATTACCAGCTATACATCTTTTGAAATAAAAAAAAAAATTACCAGCTATACATCTTTTGAAATAAAAAAAAAAAATTACCAGCTATACATATTTTGAAATAAAAAAAATATTACCAGCTATACATCTTTTGAAATAAAAAAATATTACCAGCTATACATCTTTTGAAAAAAAATATTACCAGTTGTACATATTTGAAGGAAAATTATTACCAGAAATAGATTTTTAAAGAAAAAAAATATTTCCAGAAATAGTTTTTTTGAAGGAAAAAAATATTACCAGAAATAGATTTTTGAAAATAAATGTTACCAGCAATAAAAATTTTGTTGGCATTAAATAACCCATTGATGTTGATATGCCGTAAAACAAATCAAACCAAATTTAAATGAGGTTGAATACCATGTATGGCATCCATATGAGAGTCTATTTGATGAAATTTATTAAACAACATTTGTTTAGTTCTTTTATTTTATCTTTTTATGTTAACATACTATTCTTGGATACACAAATAAACTGTAACAAATAATGGAAACCACATCACTTGACGATTTTTAACAGCAACAAGAACAAAATTGGATAGCACATCTTAAATAAGATGTTGATATTCTACACTATGTCAAACAAAACATTTGGAAGGAAACTCCGATTAATATTGGAAAGAGTGATAACAAGTGTTAGACTTGAGAAGTTTAAAAAATAGAAATGATGGAAGGAATATGTCAACAAAAATGAAAGAAGGAATATGTCAACAAAAATGAAAGAAGGAATATGTCAACAAAAATGAAAGAAGGAATATGTCAACAAAAATGAAAGAAGGAATATGTCAACAAAAATGAAAGAAGGAATATGTCAACAAAAATGAAAGAAGGAATATGTCAACAAAAATGAAAGAAGGAATATGTCAACAAAAATGAAAGAAGGAATATGTCAACAAAAATGAAAGAAGGAATAAGTTAGCAAAAATGAAAGAAGGAATAAGTTAAAAAAATGAAAGAAGGAATAGGCTAAACGATGAAAGAAGGAATAATCTAAACAATGAAAGAAGGAATTAGAAAAAGAAATGAAGAAAGGAGGAATAAGTTAAAAAATAAATGAAAGAAGGAATAAGTTAAAAAGGAAGAAAAGAATAAAAGAAATCAGTGGAAGAAATTGAAAAGTAAAGGAAGGAATAACTACTGAAAAATTAAATGTGGAAAAAAATGAAATGGAAAAAAAAATGAGGAAAGATTAGAATCTGCCATGTATGGCTGTTTCATTCATTACTTAAAAAAAAATTAACGCACTACAGGAAAAGGTTGAAAAAAATGGAATCAGTCACTCTAGGAATGGAATGGTTACTTCCTGGTTTCCACATTTCCTTATATTGGCTGTTGTGGAAATGGTCGTCATTAAAGCTGGTGCAATTGTTAGGTTTCTACATTCTGAAGCAATCAAGAGTTTTGGCCGTGGGCAGAAATAAAGAAATATCAAGAGATGTGGAGACAAGTTTAAATGAAGGTGTGTAGGAGTGCAAGAGGAGAAGGAAATATTGGGAAATGAGATTGAAGGGAAAGGACGGCAAAAGCAATGATAACAGATAGAATAAGGGGGAGAAAGAAAGAAATATGTAAACTATTTAAAAAAAATTAAAAAGAGGGGTTTTGAGAATTGGAAACAAACTGCATAGAAAGAATGAAATTAATGATGAAAGAAAGAATTGTGAGGAATAAAAAGTTTGGGCAAAGATAATGAGATAAAAGGGAAGAGATCTGGGAAAGGAATAAAAAAGAGAAGAAACAATAAGAAGGGAATAGCAGTAAGAAGAGATAGGAAGAAAGAAAGGAAGAGGACAGATAGGAAGAAAGAAAGGAAGAGGACAGATAGGAAGAAAGAAAGGAAGAGGACAGGATAGGATGGGAAAGAAAGGAAGAGGACAGATAGGAAGAAAAGAAAGAAGAGGACAGATAGGGAAAAGAAAGGAAGAGGACAGATAGGAAGAAAGAAAGGAAGAGGACAGATAGGAAGAAAGAAAGGAAGAGGACAGATAGGAAGAAAGAAAGGAAGAGGACAGATAGGAAGAAAGAAAGGAAGAGGACAGATAGGAAGAAAGAAAGGAAGAGGACAGATAGGAAGAAAGAAAGGAAGAGGACAGATAGGAAGAGGACAGATAGGGACAGAAAGGAAGAGGACAGAAAGGAAGGACAGGAACAGGACAGAAAGGAAGAGGACAGATAGGACAATAGGGAAGAGGACAGATAGGAAAGGAAGATAGGGAAGACAGAGGGGAAGGAAGAGGACAGATAGGAAGAGGACAGATAGGAAGAGGACAGATAGGAAGAGGACAGATAGGAAGAGGACAGATAGGAAGAGGACAGATAGGAAGAGGACAGATAGGAAGGAAGAGGACAGATAGGAAGGAAGAGGACAGATAGGAAGGAAGAGGACAGATAGGAAGAGGACAGAAAGGAAGAGGACAGAAAGGAAGAGGACAGAAAGGAAGAGGACAGAAAGGAAAGAAGAGGACAGAAAGGAAGGAAGAGGACAGAAAGGAAGGAAGAGGACAGAAAGGAAGAAATAAAGGAAGGAAGAGGACAGAAAGCAAGAAAGAAAGGAAGGAAGAGGACAGATAGGAAGACAGAAAGGAAGGACAGACAGGAAAGGATTGCATAGGAGGAATGAAGGAGAAAATTAGACAGGAACTAAACCAGAGATCAAAAAGAAATGATGCAATTTTTGGCATCTATTACACAACATTGTATTAGATACACCCTCCTTCATTCTTTATAAGAAATTTTTTATTTATCTTTAAATTACAGTTCTGATGTTTATTTCCAACTAGTTATACAATGGCAAGATAGGCTGCTGGCAATAAAGAATGTGAGTTCAATGTTGCCGAAAGCTTATTGTTCATTTTTAATTCTGGTGCTTAATCGTTAGAGAATAAAAAGTCAAGTGAGTTGTAATAGAAAACAAAACAAAAAAATGTAAAGAAAATAAAACGTAGAAAAATTCATTATGCTTCTTCTAAGAAAATCAAAGCTATTTGCATTTTAGACTTCTTTTAGGTACCTGTGTCCTTTCATGATGCAGGTGAACATGGCTCTCCACAACTAACTATCTTTTGTAGCTTTAAACAATGTTTGTGAAGGGGTTGTCTTCTTATTGGTTGCACATATGAAAAGGAAAGGAAAACTCAGAAGCACTAGAATCAAACACTAGACCATAATGAGCAGGGTATAGACAAGACTGTCATATCGGAACACCACTTGTATAAGACGACTGCAGCTGAGACACTGGAACCAAAAACAAAGATGAATAAATTTGAAATGATGCTGGGTAACACAACCAAAAATCCTTGGTAATGCATGGCAATCCTGTTGTGTGGTCAATGTGGCATGCTGCTAAGCTCTGCCTCTTCCCAGAAAATGTTCCTGCTTTTATGAACACTAAAACTTTAGTAAAGGAATCGTTTGCATATCTAACACTGCTCAGCTTGCCATCCTGACTATCTCTTAGGGAAGCTGATAAACACTTTCTTTCTCCATAAACAAACATTCAGGGGTTTGCATTGGTTCTTGTTCTGGCAGGACAGCCATATGCCTTTCTCCAAAGACAGCCCACTAAACATCATCTCTTTGACTGACAGGGGTGGGTACTGTTATCAGTTGCAATTGGCTACTCCATTTGCATTTTGTTTATGCTACAATTTGACTTTACCATTCCTCTTTGTCTCTGGTCTGCTATCTATTCATACAAACTTATTACATCAGGTGTTCTCAACTAGGGGGTGAAATACCCTCTCCAATAGGCTGGTTTCAGGTGAAGGGAATCTTTTTCTTTTTTTTTATTTACAGAATTTTGTTTATTGAATTACAATTCTCTGGTATTCTATTGAAGTTTTTTTGATTAAAGTAAATTTCAATTTACTTAATAATGAGTAATGAATTAAAACAAATTACTGTACATGTATTCAAGTTTAAAAATCCATCAACTTTTTCTATTGCTATTAAATTTGTAAAATTCCCCTATAAAAATAATCCATGTACTAATATGGAAAAGAATGAATATGTTTCATATTATTTTGAATGTGTCTTTTGAGTAGGACAATCTTGTAAAGTAAGGGAGAATGATCTTTTTGGCAGAGTGAAAAAGGTGCATTGGATAAAAAGAACCACTGTATTAAATAGATTACTCAATATTTCCTTCTACTACTCTTAAGTTCAATGTCCTGTGATTGCTAAATTTGTCAAGCCATCTTTCCTTAGTATGTGTTCCAGAATTGTCTACTGTTTCTTTCTGCTTTTATGTATATCTTTCCTCACAGTTCCAGTTTTCTGTAAAACTTCCTTGTGAAGAAGTCAAGTGACTTACTACCAACATGGCTGCCTTCTTCTGTTTCCTTGTAAAGCAAGCCAGCTGATTTGACCATATTTTATAGGAGAGTGCCTAATACACCAGTTAGGTTGGTCCATTTTGCTAGAATGGACCTGCCCAATACATTTGCATGAGTGGTCTTTATTCACCCATGAAATGACTCAAGTGAGTTTTAGCTTTGGCTACACTTGCCTACTTGTTTGTCAGATCACTGACAAGCTAACCAATATTCTACACCTTGCTGCTCGCAAATTCTGTCATTGTATCCTTAGCATCCATTAGTAAAACTACATCTCTCTCATTTCAAATTTCTTCATCTGTGAAGAGTTTATCCAGCATTCAAATCATATAAGAGATTAGATAGTATGTATGTAACAGTTCAGCACTCTTTGTTTCTAATGTAATTTTCCTAGCTCTTAATACTTTACTTCAATTCTGTGAGGTATCTTTTGCTACAACAATGAGTTTTGAGATTTTTGTGTTGTATTCTCTATCATCTGTTTCTCTTCAATCCAGATCATTAAACTTTTGTGCTTGCCCAATTTTGACATCCCTGATTCATAACGCCTACCTTGGACTGAAACTCTTACTGAAAACAGTCCTTTCTTCTTGCTTTTCATTACTATCTTTCAGAGTTCTTTCAGTTTTGTTTCCGAGTCTGACATCAACTATCTGCAATACATAGGTAGTTATGTGCAAAATGGTAACAGGTAGATATATATGCACAAATTGGTGGCAAGTAGACAGATTCACACAAAATGGTGACAGATTGATAGATATGCATCAAATGTTAACAGACATGTACAAAACGATGATGGTAGGTAGATATGTGCAAAATAGTGACAGGTAGATAATCCACAAAATGGCGACAGGCTGATAATGGGCAAAACGGTGATAGGGAGATAGATATATGCAAACTGGTGACAATAAGGCCCATGAGCCACTCGAGGTAGATAGTAACAGAATAAGAAGCACAGTTTATGGGGATATGGGGAAAGATAATGATTAACCCTTGAACAGGCTCAAATTGTACTGATTGGGGAAGCATTCTCTTGGGAGTCTGAACACTTTCCATGTAAATAGTGATAGAGCAGCAAGAGGCCTGCAGCATTTCATCGGTGAAAAATGAGTTGAAGGGTGGAGAAACAAATAAATAACATTGGTTCATTTAAGAAATATTATACATAAACTTAGAGGAGTGTTGTAAAATCCTGTATTCCATGGAAATCATCTTTGGTAACAAAAAACAAAATAATCCTCAAAATTTTTGGATGCGTATTTTTCAGAAAATTTCTCTCTGGTCAGACAGAATGAAAATTGAACTCATGCATGGACACCCACATAGAAGGGGAAGTGGTGGTTTTATCTTGATCTTGAGCAGACAGTTCCTTTTGAATTTTGATCTTCTAAGCAGCATCCACTTTGACTGAAAAATAATGCAGAAGTAAAAGTGTGGATAAGTGATTTTTGAAGATCAAGTGGCAACAGAAACGGAATTAGGGTATATCCAGATGCTGGTGTATCAACAGTCATGCTCGTAATCAGGGAGAATTCTGCACTGCCCTTGGCAGGTGACAGACATTTCGATCAAGTGGTTCTGAAGCCACCATTTATATTACCAAGCCATCATGTCAGGATAGGTAGATGTACAAGGAGTTGGTAGGGGGGGAAGAACTAACATAGCAGAAGTAGTCCCAAATGAGAAATCAAAGCCCTAAATAAATACCTACTTATAATATTGGAAGCACGGTTCACTTTCTTATTTCTCAGTTTTTATAATGTTAACTTTGTGACCATGCCTCATGCCCTTTCCTAGCTTTTGGTGAACACTAACAAGAATGAGGATTGAAATGAAACATACGGTAATTATTGGCTGATCAGTGAAAGCCTGAGTGAAGGTCGCATTTTATGTTTAAATTGAGAAATTATGTTTGCATCTATCATTGAAAAGCAATGTCTCACAGAAAAGCGTTAAAGGCGGATGTATAATGGTTTGTGGGTGTTACTCCTTCATTGGTAAGGGAGCACTTTACATAATTAAAGAAACCAAGAATGGAGCAATATATTAGAGTATTTTGGAAGCTAACTGACTTTCTGCCATGCAATGACTGGATCTTGAAAACAGTCGGATCATTTCAATAAGGTATTGACCTCAAGCATGCAATTAAAGTAACTTGCAATTGGCTTTTTTTTTCCAGAATAAATGTTCTTCAGTTTGTTTTGTAAATCTTTCTGACTTTAATCCAATTTTTTTTTCTTCAATTATTTCGCCCCAGGCAAGGCAATAAGGCCACTAAGATTTAAAGGTTTGAAAGAATATGACAAGAAAATAATTATTAATGCAAGAGAACAGTAAAAGAACAGGTTTGGTTTGGTTTGTTTTACAGCATATCAACCACAATAGGTTATTTAATGCCAACAACTTTTTTCCTGGTAATAATTTTATCAAAAACCTATTTCTGGCAATATATTCTTTCTCAAAAATGTATAGCTGGTAATATTGTTTTCAAAAATGTATTGCTGGTAATAGTTTTTTTTTTTTCTTCAACAATTTATTTCTGGTAATAATTTTTTACAAAGTATTTCTGGTATTGAAACCTATTTTTACACTTTTGTAATACTTTTTATCTCAGTTTCAGGGCTAACTATTTGCCCATAGCTGGACTCTAACAGATGCTACCACCTGGGGTCTAGGTGAACCAGGAAACAGCAGCAATTAAGAGGACGTTCCACGCTCCTCAAAGTCTCTTGATCAGAGGCCTTGCTGTTGGACATAGTTTATCGTCTTACCCTGAACACGGATGTAGTATATCGTCATACCCAGGACAAAGAAGAATTAGAAAACAGAAATATTATTAAGGAGCAAGAAAATAAGAAGAGCAATCAGGAGGACAGTAAATAGTGGTTGACATTGCATTTAAATTTTTTAAAATTAATGTTGGCTGGAAATCATGGAGCTGGAAGGGAGTGAAAAGTATGAGAAAAGAAACTGTTAGCATAGAACTTACGATTACATCTAGTCAATTCAATTGTATATAAATGCAAATTCATTGCTGGTCTAGTACTGCACTTAAATTCATAAAGTCTAGGTACTTGCTAATGAAAATGGTTTGGTTTGTTTTATGGCATATCAACCTCAATGGATTATTTAATGCTGACAAGATTTTTATTGCTGGTAATAATTTATTTTTTCCAAAAATGTATTGCTGGCATTAAAATATATTTTTATACTTTCATAATGTTTTGACCCCTTTGGGTGGGGGGTAACAATTTGCCCATAGTTGGGACCCTGAC